GTCCAACAAAACAAATCTGATACAAAAAAATGAACAGTAAAAAATATAGAAAAAAAGATTATGATTTCAATTTCTTTTAGAAATGAGTAATAGTTAATCAAAAATCTGATCTATTTTAAAACTTAATTCAACTTAAAATACTAATTAAATCGGGAAGACAATTTTAAATATAATTTTGATCTCAATTCTAAATTTAAACAATTAATGATTAATTAATCTCTTCATCAATTCTTTTTTATTTTCTAGAGAATCATAATAAGCTTGCTGTTATATGTTTAGTTTTCAAACTGAGAAACTTGAGAAATTTTGACAATCCTTATATAACAAATATTTCGAATAACAAGCAAATGCTGATCTAAAAAGGTGAAGAATAATTTTATTGGATAATCATGACTAGTCCATGGATTAAGGTTTGTCATGATTTTTCTATTTACAAGTAAATTTTTTACGCAAACATCAATACCAGCAATAGTCGATATTTTTCGCTAATAATAAGCAACAGCAACAAATCATTCACTTAAACGTAAAAAGATGCGACCGCGAGCGCAAACAAACGCCACAAGTCCTTCTTCGTCTTCTGCTACCAAAAAAGTTGCGACTAGGGAAGAATGGGAGAAGAAACTTGGCGAAGTGAAAATAAGTAAAACGTGGGTATTTTAATCATTATCAAGTGGAAATTTATGAAATAATAAAATAATAGTAAACGTACGTGGATTTTGTTATCCGTATCATTAAAACAAACAATCGATGATAATGACGATGACCAATAAAATTGTCTTCGTCGTCGTTAATCAACATACATAATGATGTTTTTGCAAGATGGGAATCTCTCTGATTGGAATGAACGAAAAATTTTATAATTACTTGCTTCTGAATGTTAATAGATAAATTAATTGAGAGCGCTTTAATTTACTTCATTTCGCTTACTAATTCACTTAAACACGAAAAGCGATTTGAATAATCTAGTAATGAATTACTTAGTGATCGAAGGATACAAAGATGCCGCAGAAAAATTTAGTCAAGAGTGTGGCCTACAACCAAATATTGATTTTGAATCGATACAAGATCGGATGAATATTCGAAATGCGATACAGAATGGAAATGTTGAAGAGGCGATTGAACGAGTTAATGATTTAAATCCTGAGGTAATTAATTTAATAATTAATGGATGAATTAATGTCAGGAAAATTATAACGATAAAGAAAACGATGATTAAAAAAGTGTCTCATGCACCACTCATAGTCTCTACTTAAGTAGTAGATCATTGATGAAATCTAGTCACCTAATTCAGTCTTCAATATGAGTTTCTTCAATAAATAGTCATAAAAATATATATATATATATTCTTTTTTTGCAAGTTTTCTAATTAATCATCTCAACTTTTTCCGGCCTTAATTCAATATAACAGATTTTAGACACAAATCCAAAACTTTACTTTCATCTCCAACAACAACGACTGATCGAATACATTCGTCAAGGTAAAACAAGTGAGGCGCTAGAATTTGCGCAAGATGAGTTGGCACCACGTGGTGAAGAAAACGTAAGAAGCCGGTCAATATCTATGAATGAATGAACGGATCAAATTAATAAATTTTATTATTTTATTCTAAAAAAAAATTCAGCCAGAATTTCTTGAAGAACTAGAACGCACAATGGCATTACTGGCATTTGAAGATACCAGTCAATCACCAGTCGGCTATCTTTTACATCCTGCACAACGACAGCGAACCGCTAGCGAATTAAACGCGGCGATTTTAACGTCACAAAGTCAGGATAAAGATCCGAAATTACCAAGTTTATTGAAAATGCTCGTTTGGGCACAAAATCAACTTGATGAGAAGTTGTCGTTTCCTCAAATAAGGAATCTCGCGACAGCTGAATTGGTTGAGGGAACAACACCAGCATCAAATGCATCCCCTTCTACGTCTAATAATAATAATACGAGTACCTCATCTATCATTTCCTTTCCTCCGTCGTTATCTTCTACATGATGAAGATTTGTCTATGTGGGTTTATGCAATAAGTATTATGCCGTATGAAATTGATTATAAAATGGACGGTATATACTTATGATGATGACGATACTACGTTAACAAAATATACTATTAATGGTGTATGTTTACCATTTGGACGATTTCCTCTACTCGGACTTCTTTACACAAAAACACTATATATAGTATGAATGCTATTTTCGTGCTGTTTTTTATAATGTATTTATAATATTGTTATTAATGATTAATTTTTTCCTCTAAATTAGAAAGTTATCAATTTCTTTATAATAATGATGATAATAATAAATATTATTATTATTATTATTGTTTAATTTGTGGGGAAAAAGTTTACAAGTTCAGGTAAAGAGGGCGAGTACGAGGTAATTTAATGTTAAAATTTCACGAAATAAAATTATAACAAGCATATTCTAAATACATTTATTATATTTCGATGATATTCAACAAACAAATTAATACGTATATGATTATATCATATTTTAAATAATTAAACTCAATTATAAAAATTCGATCAATGCGGTTCCTTTCATTGCCAGACCACCCTCATTATTCTCCGCCCAAAGATCATAAGAAACGTCACTGCCACCTTCCTTGAAGCTATTAGATGAAATTGCATTAAGATTACGTTTTCCGCATATTTTGAAAGGTTTGCCAACAACTAATGGGCTTAAAGCTCGATATGTAAATGATTTTATTCGTGCTGACGGCTCGGGAATGCTATCACGTACAAGATCTAAGAGTAATGTGCATGTTAGTGGCCCGTGAATTAGACAACCTAATTAATATAATCAAGTGAGTTAGCTTTAAGAAATCGAGTATTTTAAGTTGGTTCGAAAAATTAAGTACCTTCGTGCCCTTCTACTTCCGCGGCATATTTATGATCGTAATGTATTAGGTGACTATTAAATGTTAACGCGGAATATCGAAATAGCAATATAGTTGTAGGATGAATTATTTTTTCAAAATCTGCTTTGTAGTTTACTATATATATATAGAGAGAGAGAGAGATGAATATGTTACAATCAATCCTTCTAAAAGGTTTAAAAATTAATTTTCCGTCATACCTTTAACAATCTTTCGCTGCTTCTCCTTCAGGACCGATCTTCTCATATACACCAAACATCTCGTGTCCCGTACACTAAACCCATGTTTATTCCCCATATCTCTATCTATCCACACAAAAACATTCTCCCCACCAAGTGCACCATGTTTCACCTCAACGTTACGGCACTTTGTTTCCATATTCACATGCTGTCCTACTCTCAACGGGTTCCAATTATCAAAAAGCAACTCACCACCTGCCCACATGCGTTGAAGAAAAGGCGGCGGTGGAGAATGAGTAGTCAAGTATCCATCGGGGGACAAGTCTTTTTCGTAGACACGTGTGGGAAAGTATGCCAGGTGATAGTTTGGAGGCAAGGCAGTTCCGACTGGTGGTATGACGGTTGACGACACGTCGTTGATAATGTTTGTGCGGTTGAGTGTCAGTGAAAGTAGTTGTAGTGGAGCCGGGGTTATTGTATCTGTGGACATTGTGGTTTCATTTAGTATTTTTGATTTCCATCTTGTAAACAGCCATATCGACCACGTCTTGCAATATGTTGCGGACATCCCAATTTAAATCAACAGCATCACAATGATCTTGAACGCGCGTTTAGCCGCCTCAAGTAAAGCTTCTGGTTCATTGGCACAAAAGAAAATAATCCAAATTGAAAAAAATAGCATACAAATTACTTTCCAATGATATTGATAAGTTCGTACCTGCACTATTAACGGTATATCTCCTTCATCAGTAGACCGCATTTCCTGCCTGTACCGCAAATTACGTTCATCACAAACCATTTTCGCGTGTATCATTGGCGTGAAACAAAGTTATGCCCCATGAGCCGGACTTGTCAAGTAATGTCACATGCACATATGGAATTAACATTGATCGGGACAATAGGTAAGTGAGTAGGATAAGTGGTGAAAAAAATATTTAATCTTTATTTATTTAAATAAAATTAGATACAACAACGAAAGGATAATTACAACACACATAAAATAGATCTCGATCATTATATAAGAGGAATCGGTCAAGTTATATTATACAGCGCTCAACCAACTCATTGCATTAGAGGATCTCGATCATTATATGAGAGGAATTGGTCAAGTTATACTATACAGCGCTCAACCAACTCATTACATTAGTTATTTGTAAAATTTACCAGTATTACGATCGAATTTCATTGTTGTCAAATTATGACTTCCAAACACTTCTATTGAACTTTTAATAACAGTCCCAAAAACCATGATATGAGCTCTCGTTCGTTCCAACTGAAGGAGGGCGAATTAAGTGTACTATAAGATCCAACAAAATAAATATCTCGTTCTTCAGTTAAACGTCCTCGACCAATAGTGGATAATTGGGAAAAATGAATAGGAGAAAGCGGTATTTTTACTTGAGGTTTCTCGTTAAGGAAATCGTTAAGATCAGGCCTTCTAGGAAGATGTTCAGGAGTTTGAACTAATTTTTTTAGTATCTCGGTAGTGATGTCTAAATGGAAGAAGGCGATGTTATAATAAGGGTCGAAATAAAAGTAGAAAAGTTAATAGAAACTTACCTTTCGGAATTGCTGGGATTGCTGGAATTCAATATGAAAAGAGTCAACATTGGATTTAAAATTAAAATGCAATCATGGTATTTACCTTGCTCTTCAGACCTGCGATTCTTCCGGCTGGTCCGCCTGGCATTCCCCATCTTTCAAGAGTTTCTGGGCTTAAGCTGAGGAAGCCTGAACCGGAAACTTTATTTTTTTTTTTTTTGACTATATCAACTTTTTAGCTCCCGACTGTTGGCTTACTACAAGGCAAACTCGATAAGACGAAGGTCGGGGGCAGAGACGGCTTATCGAGATTTTCGTTTTACTAAATTTCGCACAAAGCCGAATTTATATATAATAAAAAATTTGGTAAACCAG